TTGCTGCAGTGGCTCAGTCTAAATTACGTGAGTTAAACGCTAGTCTAGTTGGTGATGATGTTGCGTTGTCTAATATCTATGCTGCCAAGGGCATGTGGGAGGAGAAAATAATGCTTAGACATGAGATGACACAAAGGAGAACTCCTGGCTGTAGTTCAGTTGAGGTGGGGAAGTTGCATTCTTGAATGTTAGTGCAGAAAAAGTGATTAACCTTTGGATTAGTTTCTTGCTCACTTCATAGGTACATAATTGCCAGATTTTTATCAAGGACATTAAGGGTGTGTCCTTGAAAAATATTTTGTAGGAATATAAGTGGATTTCTTACTTATTTTCTCGTGTTGCTGCTCCTAATCCGCTTTTTCCTACTCCGTCTCCTCCTCCTCCTTCGTACAATAAATTGTTTTCTTAGTTATTTAACGTATAGTTAGTATTGACAAACTTCAGTTAAAAATCAAAAGGGTTGTTGCTCCTCTTCCACTTCTTCCTCCTAGTCTCCTTCTCCCTCTTCACATCCTCCTCCTCCTCCTCTTATAATAGTCCAATCATTTTTGAGAAATCTCTGATTGGACAACTGAAATTATTTGAATAAGTTTGGGACATTTGACAACTTAAATTATTTGAATAACTCCAAATATTGATCTTTTCGCCAAACTTCAAACATACGAATCTAAAGTTTGGGACACTATGTCAAACTTGACAAAAAAAAATTGTATTAACAAAATTTTGCAACTTTAGTCGCATATGTTTGAAGTTGATTCCGAAATGTTGAGATGGCAAATAAGGCGGGGGGAGGACAGGGCAAGGAAACACTTAAACGGGTAGTTGGGGGCTTTGGGTGGGGCAATTGCTTTTTTGAAAATCTAAATAGTGGCAGGATAGAAGGCGGGTCAGTAGTGTTAGACAACAAGTAATATATCTTTTCTTCTACTATATGTGATACAATGGCTATGATACATACTTCATGAAGTTGTTTAGATATATTTAATTTAATATCAGATACAATAATCATGCAACGCGCCCATTCCATAGTTTAATTAGATGAATCAAATACAATATCAACTTTGTATAGGTATGCGTTTATAGATTTTTGGGTAAACTACGTAAATTTCACTACTTTAGATCCTAATTACAAGGATTCCCATTAGTTTTTTATATTACTTTATATACCATTTTTTGGCCTTCGGATACATGTATCATGGCCGGTCAGATACATGTATCCATCAGATTTAAAAATTGAGATACACTATTTAATTGCTTTTGAATTAAAGATTGTAACTTATTTCCTTAATTAAAGAAGTAAATGATGGAAATTAACAACCAAAACGGATATAGAGGATTCTTCCAAATCAACTCTTACCACTTTTACTAAAATATCGAAATCATAAACCTTAGTATTTCTGAAATTGTAAACTTCACCTTCTTTGTCAATACCTTTCCGTGTATCCTCAAGTTTCGAGATTTTTTTTCCAAATGGTAAATATCACAGTATTATTTAGGCATTCGGATTCATGGCTCTCTGAAATCAAATACAAAAATTAAGATTCGCTAGAACACAATTTAGTAGTGCGCAACTTGCCGACACTGATTTCTGGTCTTGACAACGTTTCTGGGCCATCCAACATGGAGTGCTGCTTTGTTAAGTCAGCCCAGGTGGTGCTCCTTGGCACCCCATCTACTCCCACTCTATGTCAATTCCTCCTCGAAAGGAATGACACAATCAGTATTATTGCTGATAGAATAATATTGCATATCACCAAAAAATCAACCAAATCAAAACACACTAAATTTGTCCATGGCTTTAACATTGACAGATTTCATAACTATTAATTGAGTGTACACGCAAAAGCATTGAGATCAGCTATATAATGGAAGACAATTTGATTACAACAATAATATAAGGGTGTCAAAAATGAACTCAAACATAGGTAACCCGTCCAAAATTTTAAGGGTTGGGCTCAAGATAATTTGAATTGAGTTTAATCTCAACTCATTCAAGCCTAACCCATTTTAAGAGAATCCTCAATTGAGCCCAATTCAATCTCCAATTTCAACCCGTTTTAAAATTATTTATTAAGAGATGTTCCTATATTGAAGGTATGAATTTATTATCTTATTTAATATTCTTTTAGGATTTATCTATCCATTTGTTAATTTTTTTTAAAAAAAATCTTGAGTTGAAATTCAAATTGTGATTATAAAAGTTAAATATCACTATGTTAAAATTATTGAGATTAAGCGGGTCAAATTGGGCGGGTCAAGACCCAACCCATTTTTTAGCCCATTTGAGCCCAAAGTAAACTTGGGCGGGTCAAGACCCAACCCGATTTCTATTTCAACCCATTTTAATATCTCTAATTTCACCTCAACCCGCCCATTTGACACCCCTACTGAATAATGAAATTCGAAATGAGATGAGAATGAGATATTTTATGGAATTAAAAAGATGTAAATTCGATTGCGGGTTTTATCCATTATTCCTAACAGTTAAAGGTCAAATTTTTGGATGTAGTAATAATGGTGAAATATCTTTTGAGCGAGATACATCAATTGTTCGATTGGGAGTTGAAATTAGAACTGAAACTACATGTAATGCTACTTCAGATACATATATAAAATTTCGTTCATTTCTTTTCCAAAAACACAAAAAGTGTATAAATATTCTTCTTTCTATTAATTTGATTTTCTTTCTTTGAATCTCGATTTATATATATATAAATTTAATTTTTTTTTACAATAATCAATCTTCATTTTGAATTATAACTGTGATGGTGAAGTTATTTTTTAGCCAAATTCATCATCTTTTCGATTTGAAATTGAAAGTGCTAGTGCTGCAAAAATAACTTGAGATACAAAGACAATGAAAGCTTAAATACATTAACATAAAATAATCAGATACATAATGATATTATATCAAATACATTAATAAATATACTAGATATAACCAGAGAGGCATATGCATGCCAGATACATTACCATAAAAATCAGATACAAGACATTAACGATTTAGGTACATTAATAGAAAGTAAATAAAGGACATTGGAAGTTTAGATACATTAACAAAACGATAGATACATAAAAATATTAAATGAGATACAGGAAAAAAAACACTAGCTACATAGGGCTATTAAAGTCAAGGGCGACTAACCCACAAGCTTGATTGAAGCAGAAAGGGAGGCCAAATTGAATTTGGAAAAATGGTTGAATGTAGAAGAAAGCATCATCAGACAAAAGTCTAGAGTACAATGGTTGAAATTGGGAGATGGAAACGCAGCTTATTTCCATGCTAGCTTGAGGAATAAGCTTGCTCAGAACAAAATAGCTAGTCTAACCAATGTTACTGGGGACATAGTAACAAGCATATTGAAGATGTAGAAGATGAGATACTTGGATTTTACAAAAATCTTCTGGGGACTTGTGCAACTCAATTACCAATTGTGGATGGGCAGCAATGAAAGATGGAAAAATTTTACTATGGTAGAGGCCCAACCAACAAAAGTTGGAAGATGCTCCACCCATTTTTTGACATGTGGATCATGGGCCCAAACTTTTCTTTTTATACATATTTTTACTAAAGAAATTGTGAATAACCAACAAAAGTTGGAAGAGGCTCCACCCATTTTTTGACATGTGGATCATGGGCCCAAACTTTTCTTTTTATACATATTTTTACTAAAGAAATTGTGAATAACCAACAAAAGTTGGAAGAGGCTCCACCCATTTTTTGACATGTGGATCATGGGCCCAAACTTTTCTTTTTATACATATTTTTACTAAAGAAATTGTGAATAACCAACAAAAGTTGGAAGAGGCTCCACCCATTTTTTGACATGTGGATCATGGGCCCAAACTTTTCTTTTTATACATATTTTTACTAAAGAAATTGTGAATAACCAACAAAAGTTGGAAGAGGCTCCACCCATTTTTTGACATGTGGATCATGGGCCCAAACTTTTCTTTTTATACATATTTTTACTAAAGAAATTGTGAATAACCAACAAAAGTTGGAAGAGGCTCCACCCATTTTTTGACATGTGGATCATGGGCCCAAACTTTTCTTTTTATACATATTTTTACTAAAGAAATTGTGAATAACCAACAAAAGTTGGAAGAGGCTCCACCCATTTTTTGACATGTGGATCATGGGCCCAAACTTTTCTTTTTATACATATTTTTACTAAAGAAATTGTGAATAACCAACAAAAGTTGGAAGAGGCTCCACCCATTTTTTGACATGTGGATCATGGGCCCAAACTTTTCTTTTTATACATATTTTTACTAAAGAAATTGTGAATAACCAACAAAAGTTGGAAGAGGCTCCACCCATTTTTTGACATGTGGATCATGGGCCCAAACTTTTCTTTTTATACATATTTTTACTAAAGAAATTGTGAATAACCAACAAAAGTTGGAAGAGGCTCCACCCATTTTTTGACATGTGGATCATGGGCCCAAACTTTTCTTTTTATACATATTTTTACTAAAGAAATTGTGAATAACCAACAAAAGTTGGAAGAGGCTCCACCCATTTTTTGACATGTGGATCATGGGCCCAAACTTTTCTTTTTATACATATTTTTACTAAAGAAATTGTGAATAACCAAATGATAGGACTAAAGAAATATTTGAAGTATAAGTAAATTATATGTTTGTATGAATACTTTATCGAAAAAATCCGAAACAACCCGAAAAACCCAAAAACCCAAAAACCCAAAAAAAACCTGAGGTTGAAAAACCTGAGTTTATTGGTTTGGTTTGGTTTATAAATTTAAAAAAATCCGACACAAATGATTTGGTTTGATATTTGAAAAACCCGAATCAACCCGACCATGTACATCCTTATTTTTCACTTTCAATATAATATTTTAATTTATTTAATTGAAGTTCACATGAACCCCACAATTATCTTGCAATTCCCACTCAAACTTTACATTCTCTCTCCTTTTGGTTTCATTTTTCAACCTTAACTAATGGTTTGGGCCCCATGATCTACATGTCAAAAAATGGGTGGAGCCTCTTCCAACATTTGTTGGTTGGGCCTCTACCATAATAAAAATTTTCTGAAAGATGGACCTAGACTAGATAAAGGTCAGCAAGCACAATTAATAGCACATGTGTCAAGGGAGGAAATAGTACAAGCTTTAAAAGGGATAAATGATAATAAAGCACCAGACTGTGATAGTTTCAATGCATATTTTTTCAAGCAAGCTTAGAGGCAACAGTTGGAGAAGAGCTTATTGAGGCTGTACAAGAATTCTTTGTAACAGGAAAGATACATAAAGCTATAAATTGCACTACAGTGACTCTGATTCCCAAAATTGAACATCCTTCAAAACTTTCAGAGTATAGACTTATTTCATGTTGTACTGTGGTGTACAAAATCATTTCAAAAGTGCTCACTAATAAAATGCAAAATGTGATGGATAGTTTAATAGATAAAGGGCAGTCTGCTTTTGTGCTAGGCAGATTGATCAATGATAAAATCATTCTGAGTACTGAATTGGTCAAGGGCTATGGGAGAAAAGGGATTTCACCCAAATGCATGATGAAAATTGATATGAGAAAAACTTATGATTAAATGGAATGGGAGTTTGTGAAACCGATGCTGATTCAACTATTTTTCCCTATTGTTTTTGTAGATTGGATAGTACAATGCATAAGCACAGTGACTTACACTGTATTGATTAATGGAATTCCCAGTAAACTTTTTGAGGCAAAGAAGGGGCTAAGGCAAGGAGACTCATTATCCCCTTATCTCTTTGTATTAGCCATGGAGTATTTCACAAGATTATTGAAACAACTGAAAAAGTCTCCAAGTTTTAAGTATCACCCAAGATGTGCTAAACTGTAGCTGGTCCAACTAAGTTTTGCTGATGATCTGCTCCTATTTACTAAAGGGGAACTCACATCTGTCAAACAAGTATATGATCTCTTTAAAGTATTTTCAGTCGCCTCAGGACTGGAAGCAAATATAGATAAAAATTCCATTTATTTTGGAGGAGTGTCAACTGAAATGCAGCTGGTCATAATGCAGGATCTAGGATTTTCACAAGGTGCAATGCCTTTTAGATACTTGGGAGTCCCCTTAAGTACTAAGAAAATAACTATTGTGCAATGCCAACCATTGATTGATGAGATTCTAGGAAGGATACAAAGCTGGACATCTAGATTCCTATCATATGCATGAAGGGTTCAGCTAATTAAAAGTGTATTGTTTTCTGTTCAAGTATTTTGGTCTCAAGTTTTTATATTGCCAAAGAAAGTGATCAAATGCATTGAAGGCTTATGCAGAACTTTTTTATGGATTGGAGGGGCATATACTTCAAAGAAAGCATTGGTTGGATCAACTGTGCAAGCCACAAACTGCAGGGGGATTGACTATAGTAAGTATCCAAGAGTGGAACAAGGCAGCCATCTGCAAGCTTTTGTGGAATCTGAACAAGAAAAAAGACAAGTTATGGGTCCAATGGGTGCACATGTACTATGGGAAACAAGGGACAATGTGGAATATCCAAGCAAACCAGGCCTCATGGATGGTGAGGAAGATCTTACAAACTCATAGAGTCTTGGAGGTTGTGGGATGGAATGAACCACAAGTGATACAAATGGAAAAGTTCTCGATTAAAAAGTTGTACCAATTATTGAGAGGGGAATACCCAAAAGTAGAATGGAGAAAGCTGGTATGCAATACTTATGCATGCCCAAAATGGAGCTTTATTTTATTCCTAACATTGCATGAGAGGTTACTGACAAAAGCCAGACTGATTACCTGGGGTAGTGTGGAGGACAACAGATGTATATTGTGTAATGATGGAAATAAGGACATTGAACACCTCTTCTTCAGTTGTTACTACTCAGGCAAGATTTGGCAAAAAGTCTTAAGGTGGCAAGCTATTCAAAAGCAGACATCAGGGTGGAATGAGGAACAAAGATGGGCGCAAGATCATTATAAAGGAAAGCTACCAGAAGCTGAAATATTTCGCCTAACACTTGCAGCAAATGTATATTACATTTGGCAGGAGAGAAACCAGAGGATATTTCAGAAGAAGAATAGAAGTTGTGATGAGTTAGTCAGGAGGATTATCCAAGAAGTTCACATAAAAGGAGGAATGAAGCCAAAACTAAACATGAAATTACAGATGTTAGATTGGTACCCTGTATAATTAATTTCTGATGTGGAATGAATAGGGTAAGTAATGGATAGTAGTAGTTAGATAGATGCTGGAAGTATACAGTCTTGGGAGATGTCCAGGCTGTCTTCGTTTCTTTTAATGGTTTGTAATTCTCACTTTGGTTAATAAAATGTTTATTTACCAAAAAAAATAAAAAATCAAAGGCGACTAAAATCAAATACAATTCATAAAGTTTAGATACATTGAAATTACAATTAGATACGTATGAAAATTACACTAGATACATAATGAAATAATTTTACCAAGATTTGGAGAGATGGCAAAGGGAAACTTGATGAGAGAGAAAACATATTAATTGTAATTGGATCATTAATTTTGGTGTTTAAATGAAAAGATAATTAATCAATCCTAGTTTTAAGGGATTTGTGTATCTAATATGTATTTAAAATAGGGAAAATTGTATATAATAGTAAACTATTAATTCAAATTAAATGTTATAAGCATAGTTTGGTTTAATTGTACCCCATAACAAACTGTTGCTATTTCTCCTCTCTCATGGTGAATCTCGCTCGCCACTCTCGTTCTCTCCCTCGCCTCTCTCACTTTTTATACAAACGCAAATGTATAAAATGCGTATGTGTTTGTATAAAGCAAGAGAAAATTGTATATATACATATATTTTCGTTTTCCTCTCTCCCCTCACCCAGATCTCGGTCGCCAGTCTCTCCTTCGCCTCTCTCGCTTATACAAATAGAAATGTATAAATTGCGTTTCTGTTTGTATAAAACGATAGAAAATTGTATATACACATGCAAATACATATATCTACGTCCTATACACTTATAATTATACAATACAAATATTCCCCTGCCCAGTTCTCTTTTGTCTTTCTCTCTTTCTCGCTTTATACAAACACTTATTATACAATTAATCTTTTGTATATGTATACCGAAACAAAACCAGATTATATACAACTGCTTTTCTTTTGTATATGTATAGCGAAATATACATATTTATGTTTGCTATGGAGCGCAATTATGCAAATTATAGCTATAGATACAAATATGATTTTTGTGTTTGCTATATGTGAAAGTTGTTACTTTAAAATATTAAAAGTGATAATATATGTAATTATTTGAAAGTAGAGATAACATTAGAATATATGGTAGAGACGTATATTTAGTTAGGTAGTTTTTCCTAGATTTTGTTAATTTTATTTTATATATGCATAAAGTCTAATCTAGATACATTTTCTTAATGATGAGTAAAAACTAACATCCAGATACATGCTAAAAAAGTACTATAATTTTATACTTTTTTATAAGATCTAGTCCACTGAAATCTATATATAATATAAAGGAGAAACATAGACAAAGGTGATGTGGCACCTCTCTATGGCCTTCATTTGTATTTGTTTTTTTTCTCATTCTTTTCTTATTTAAATTAATTATTGTATTATAAAATTAAATTACTTAATTTATTACAAATACATATTTTATTAATGGAGTAACATTTATAACAAAGACTCTTCACATTCTTTTCTTATTTAAATTAATTATTGTATTATAAAATTAAATTACTTAATTTATTACAAATACATATTTTATTAATGGAGTAACATTTATAACAAAGACTCTTCACATTCTTTTCTTATTTAAATTAATTATTGTATTATAAAATTAAATTACTTAATTTATTACAAACACATATTTTATTAATGGAGTAACATTTATAACAAAGACTCTTCACATTCTTTTTTTTCTTTTGTTAGCCTCACTTCTAATCATAAAATGATAATATTTTTTTATATTTTAAGTGTTTTTCTCTTTATTATTTAATTTATTTACAAGGAGTTAAGGAGTAATTACCCATGACCTACACCTCTTTAATTTGTATTGTTAATAATATTTAAGACTCTCATAATTTTCATGTCCATAACCTCCAAAAATTAATTTGTAAGTTTATGATGTCTTATGGTATTCCTATATTTTGCCTATATAAACTCATATTTAGTTTCATGGAGATTCACATTCAAGATTATCCTTTCCCTTCTTCATCATATTGGTTTGTGAATTAGCTAACATGTAACAAAAAAGAAGTACATGAAGGTGAGAAATATTTCATTTCCAAGTCTTTTTTCTTATTTTCTACATTTTCCCAATCTAAATAATATTTAATTTCATAAAAATTCACATTCAAGAATATATTTTCTCTTCTTTATCATATTAGTTTGTGAATTAACTAACATGTAACAAAAAAAAGTACATGAAAGGTAAGAATTTCACTCTCAAGTCTGTTTCTATTTTTATGTATTTGGATATACTTTCTTAATATTTTATTTATGTATGTATTATCATTCTCCAAGCAAATATGATTAATTTTTTTTTTGTAATAATGAACAATGTGTTGTTAGTATGTGATTGTTCTCTTTAATAGTCAATTTGCTGAATATAATATAGTTTGATTACAATATGTGTGAGTTTTCAAGAGATGATTCTTATTTACTGTTAGTACAATTGAAAAAATCATTTACAAATATATTACATATAGTTTAGATTTTTTTCTCTTTCTTTTGATATAATCACTTTCAATTGGTATGATATTTTATTTATTCATAATTATGTTTTTTTTTATTCAATTGGTAGGATATAATGAAGAGGTTGACAAATGGAGTACAAAATATGATGGCGGATCTACTTACAAAGGAAGATAAATAGATAATAGAAGAAAAACAATTTTTGAAGCATAATTAGGGATTATTTTTTGCTAGAAATTTTGTCGTTACTTTGACTTGTATTGGTAAGGTGGCTACTTTTGTTAGAATTTTTTAAACTTTAGTCTATATAAGTAAATTAACTACATGTATTGGCAATGCTATTCATTTGGTTCTTTACTATTCTATTTTTTTTGGTTATGAAGCACAATTAATATAACTATCTCATTTTTTAAAAAAATTACGATGATAATGAGCTTCATTTTTATTATGCTTGCAAGAAAATAATTAAAACGAAAATATTAAATTCTATGATGCTTTTTTTTTATGTAACAATTTATTTTCGTCACTGTTCTTTTTTGTTTGAAATGTATTTATATTTTTTATGCAGTCACCAATCGTTTTTTTTTCATTATTGTATTTCTATCCCTTATTTTCACATTTATATATTTATTATTTATTTATTTTTACAAATAAAATTAATACATGATTATTAATGCAATTATAATATCTAATAAAATTCATAACTCATGTCTCTTCATTTTACTTGTAACTTCTACTCTTAAATATTGTTACAACTTTTTCATGTTTTTTTTTCCATAATTTTTATTAATATTTTAATTAATGTTTAAAAAATTTAAAAACTAATAATAGAGACACAATAAAGAACTTCAATTTTATTTTTTTACGAAATCAGAATTTGTATAGAGGATCGTAAAAAATATGTATACAATATATTGTTATTTCAAAATACGTCTCTATCTCATTTACTTCATCGTGGTAAATAATTTATTCTTCTATATACACATGAATAGTTTGCACTTAAAAAATGTAAAAAAATTCAATTTTATATATTTAAAAAAAATGTATCATATCGCATATGAAGAGAATATCAACATTATTTATATGTTTGATACTAACATGAATATAAATAGGGAAAATTGTATATAATAGCAAACTATTAATTCAAATTAAATGCTATAAATATAATTTGATTTAATTGTACCTCATAGCAAACTGTTGCTATTTCACCTCTCTCCTGGTGAATCTCGCTCGCCACTCTCGTTCTCTCCCTCGCCTCTCTCGTTTTTTATACAAATGCAAGTGTATAAAGTGTGTTGTGTTTGTATAAAGTGAGAGAAAATTGTATATATACATATATTTTCGTTCCCCTCTCTCCCCTCTCCCAGATCTCGCTCGCCACTCTCCCAGATCTCGCTCTCTCACTCGCCTCTCTCACTTTATACAAAAATGCAAATGTATAAAATGCGTGAAAATTGTATATATACATATATTTTCGTTCCCCTCTCTCCCCTCTCCCAGATCTCGCTCGCCACTCTCCCAGATCTCGCTCTCTCACTCGCCTCTCTCACTTTATACAAAAATGCAAATGTATAAAATGCGTGAAAATTGTATATATACATATATTTTCGTTCCCCTCTCTCCCCTCTCCCAGATCTCGCTCGCCACTCTCCCAGATCTCGCTCGCCACCCACTCTCCCAGATCTCACTCGCTCACTCGTCTCTCTCACTTTATACAAATATACATATTTATGTTTGCTATGGAGCGCAATTATGCAAACTTTGCTATAACATACAAATATGAATTTTGTGTTTGCTATATGTGAAAGTTGCTCATATAAATATTATATATTATTGTCCAATAAATATTTCTTATAGCCGCGCGAAGCGCGGACAATTTTCCTAGTTAAAATATATAACTAAAAAATGGTAAGTCGTTAGACGCGTGAAATTAAATATATAACTAAAAATGGTAAGTTGTTAGACGCGTGAAATTAAAATATATAACTAAAAATGGTAAGTCGTTAGACGCGTGAAATTAAAATATATAACTAAAAAAATGGTAAGTCGTTAGACACGTGAAATTAAAATATAAAACTAAAAAATGGTAAGTTGTTAGACGCGTGAAATTAAAATATATAACTAAAAAATGATAAGTCGTTAGACGCTTTATTTACTTTCAAGTTTAGCATTTCAGTTATATTTCACTATCAAATACACATAATTATAACATGTATGTAGATGTGTTCGATACATGTCGGATGAACTAAATATGGTACTAACTGTAATTTTGAAAACACAAGATAAATTACGTAATTAAATTCTAAACTAATGAGATTTGTATGTTTGCTCTTTAATAAATTTCAGATGTGTTTTAAAATAAGGGTCCTCTATCGGCAATTTGTGCACTGTGCACTTTCCCCAATCTAAGCAAACAGCTGTATCACTCGAAGCCCAAAGTTGTGTGATACGGAACCCGGGTCCAACTGTTGCAGGCGCTCTACTTCGGCGAAGTCACCTACCGGTCAGAGAAGTGACTCGCTCTGTGCCTGAGGAATGGTAGGAGGAAATGGATACTGAATTTCATCTACTCCAACTTCCATGGTAGCTTAATCATTGCCTATGCTAGGTTAATTGTCTATCGTACTGAAATCCTGACGATTCTGTTACTGTTTTCGGTCCCTGGCCGTTGACAGTTCTCACTATGCCTTCCGATGCTGACTTATCGGACGATGATCGAAAACCTAAGGTTGGCCCTAGCGCTAACTCCATCGATCAGTCTTTGGACGCCATCGAGAATCAATTATCCTCGATTTCAGTTGGTCAATCCGAGTACGAATCCGAAGCCGACTCCGACGTCGAAATCAAGGAACCTTCGTCATCGAATCAGGATAAGCTGAAGGAGCTCCCGAATGGACTGTTGAATAGGAATTCCGAAGCTGATACTTCTGAGGAGCTTCCTCCTATCAATGTGGTTGAAGACGTTAGCTCTTCGGTACCCGTGTGGAGGAACAATTCCGAAGAAATGGAGGCTCTGGCAAGTCCTAGTAGCAGTGGCTATGCAGGTGAAAGAGGGAGTAGCAACGCTAGTAGTAGGGACACTGGCATTGAGGAGGTCGACGGTGAGATTCTTGAAATTGGCAATGGTGATTCTTTTGATGGAGGTTCGAACTCTCAGGTGCAATGGCTTCCTGGGAAACGCCATGGCAATGAGGTGAGTCCAACAGAAGCTAGTGAATGTGAACTCTTTAAGTAGTAATTGTGGCTAGTTTAGCAAATACTAAAACAGTGCTTTGCAATTAGGGAATTTTAAGTCTAGATAGTCTTTTAACACAGTAAGGTCAAACTGAGTACAACCTGTAGGCTGCAATAAGATTCAACTTTGTGACTACCTGTAGGATGAAATCTCACATTTAGATTTTAAAGGGCATGAGCAGTGGATGTGGTAGCAATTACGGTTTATAAGCTTACAACTTTTTTATATTTCCTCCTTATGCACACATTCTACTTATCAAGACTTCCAGCTGCATTTTCATCAATTTGATAACTGTGCAAATTAGAATTGTTGAGAAACAAGTCAAGGTATGTTTAAGAGTTCGCCTCGATGACAATGACAATCAAACAATATTTGATACGGCTATTTTGCAGAATATATACTGATGAGATCATGAGACTAATTTATATGCAACAACTAAAACGTATCTTCAGTAGCATCAAAAGGGAAGTAAAGGAGATCCACTGTTGATATGGTTCAAGTTTATCTTTTGAGTCTTTTGATTGATGAAGTGCAGGATGATGCTTCCATTTCCTGGAGAAAAAGAAAGAAACACTTCTTTGTCTTGAGTCACTCGGGAAAACCAATATACTCGAGGTCAGCGTTAAAGCAGCCTCCCTCCAGAGTGCTGAATGGCATTTATTAATTAGAGTACTACTACTATATACTGTTGCCTGATTCTTCCTAATCATATTGCTGTCCTCTGAGATCTGTTATTTTATTTTATCATTCGTTTGAAGATATGGAGATGAACACAAGCTTGCTGGATTCTCTGCCACTTTGCAAGCCATCATTTCGTTTGTTGAGAATGGGTACTTCACCTACCTTGTTACCTGGTAACCCCTTCCTTTTCAGCAAAGTCATAGCGGGATATTGAAGTTTGCTTGATTGGTCTTTTTTTTCAGGGGTGATCGAGTCAACTTGGTCAGAGCCGGGAAACATCAGGTCAGTCTCTTTTGTGTTGAAATTCTCTATAATGCAACGATGATGGAACTTGTGCTTTCTTGCATGGTCGATGCCTCACCTTCTTTTATGATATTTAATACTTGGAAATTTTGAAGCTGCACGGGTTACGGTGGATGTATATGTTCCTGCTTACTTCAGTTTCATGCTAGTCTTTTTCCTTTTTAAATGGTTGAATGTTATTGTTTAAAAATCGGCATTGAAGGAAAGAAGGAAAGAGAAGATAGCCATGTGCTGTTTGGCTCTGCGAGTGAGTGACCACCTAGGAATATTTTGTAATTTTTGCAATTGAGTTGCAACATTAGGCAACTTAACTGGAAGCCTTTCTGCTTAAGCATTTTAAAAATATGTGCTGCCTGATTTTCGTTTCTTGTTTAACGGATATTTAAGGCTTGTTTCAGGTTGTGTTTCTTGTAAAAGGACCTATTTACTTGGTTTGCATAAGCTGTACAGAAGAGTCATATCAGTCACTGAAGGGACAACTAGAGCTCCTCTATGGTCAGGTAAGCTTTTTTTCTTTTTTTGTTTCTTCTTTCGTTTCTTTTGATTGTTCAATTTTGTACTAATTGAGGTGCTGGCCTGGTCATAGTTTCCTTAGCATGTTAATTGACTGCCTGTTGTTCTGACGGATGAATGCAATTGCTCATGTATTAGTTGTTATCTATGCAGATGATACTTATTCTTACGAAATCTCTGAACAAATGTTTCGAGAAGAACCCTAAATTTGACATGACTCCTTTGCTTGGAGGAACAGACGCCGTCTTCTCTTCTCTAATCCATTCATTCAGTTGGTTTGTGTCTATGCTCTACCTTCACTCTCTTTCTCTCTGCCTTTATACTTAGCTTCGTCGTGATACCTTTTAGGCTTTTACTTGTGACATATTAGTCTTGCTAATTGAGATATCATATACTTCATATACTTTGGTGAGTCCGGACTGAGGACAATTGTTAAATCTTAAAGAGTACTGAGACAATCTGTCTCCTTGGAACTCAAGAAATAACTAAGGAAGCTTTACCCATTTATTATAATCATATAATTTATCTACTATGGTATGAGACGAAAGTCTTATAAAAACCCACTGGCAGTGTGACAATATGTCATGTTTTCGAGAATATAACTAAGTAAATAAAAATGTCAAAAAAAATGTGCTCTCTTTAACAACTTAAACTTTCAGATGTCAAACACTTCAACATGGTATCAGGTAGGCAGAGGTCTTGGGTCGAATCTCATCTCCCCTCATTATTAAAAAGAATTACCATGTGCTTGGCTCATGAAAAAAGAAACAGGATAGCACATGAGGGGGCCTGTTGGGAATATAAGTAAGTAACTAAAAATGTGCTCTCTCTAACAATTTAAGCTTTTAAATAAGATGGTCACACATTTCAAAAGAAGAACTACTAAAGATATGTTCCTTAATTCTAATGACATATACTTTGTCTACTATGGTGTGAGATCGCAAATTTTTAAATCTCAAGAGTTCTGGACATTCTGTGTCATTGAAACTTTGGAGAACTTCTGGTCCTTATTTGTTAACTTGTTTTTAATTGCATATGGGAAGGAATTTTTTTATTGAACTTGAGAGATGTAGAAGAATTCAATGTAACAGACACACGATCCTCCTTCCATAAAGCTGGGGGTTGGGAGAGAGAGGAGAAAAAAGGATCAGGAAAACATAAAAGTTGGAAGTTATTTTTCTGTGTAGGAACGACGAAAAAGTGAAAAGATTATTTTTCTGCCTACTGTTTAGAAGATTTTCTGTAATCCAGGGTATTTGACAATGCACAAAATTTATACTTATAAGTTATGGACAAGATGGTCACTAGAAAATATTTTACATTGCCAAAAAGGAAAGGCATAAATTTTTTATATGTAGCAAAAGTTCAGTTCCATCTCTGCTGAGATCCTGTATTATCAGTTCTAGCTTTCTAGCATAATTAGGACCACTGTTTTCTTATGCTTATAGAAGAATATTGTTCTCTCTTGTCTAGCTACTCCCAGACCCCACTTTGTGGGATTTCACTGGGTATGTTGTTGTCTTGTCTAGCTACTACTTGTTGAATATAGTAGATGTTAATGTTGTTTCCCTGTAAAATGAACCTTATCATGAAAGAAAAACTGAAGTGCTGTCTGATAAAATTGTTTTATTTCCTATGAATACGCTGTATATTAGACTTGTGTTTACCCTGCAGTTGATTTAATCCTATGCTTCCTCATTTTTGTTGTTTCTGTTTTTTTAAATCCCAACACTAACTATAAAAGGAAGCTTTTCTTTACCATATTTATGATGATGTAGATATTTTACTATTTTTTCAACTCCTTCCAAAAAGTTCTGCTCAATTTTAAGATACAATCTGGATATTCTTCGAAGGGGAAAAAATCTTGGGAAGCTTGTTGGTTGAATTTTCAGAATACGCTGTTCAGTTGACCTTGCTGATAATGCAAACTTTTTTACTTGGTTCTAATAGAAACTGTTTGTACCTGTGCTAATGATGTCATTACCTATACTAATATATTAGCTATGCTTATTTTGATTCCAGGAACCCAGCTAACTTTCTCCATGCTTACACATGTCTTCCACTTGCTTATACGACAAGGCAAGCTGCTAGTGCCATCTTGCATGATGTAGCTGATTCAGGGGTCCTGTTTGCCTTGTTAATGTGTAAACACAAGGTCTTGTTTCTATTTCTTATTCTTCTTTCAAATTGCACATTTCAGTGGTGCATAGGTTTCAGTATACTATATTGTCTAAAGCATTCTGTTTTAAGTTGATTTGCAGGTTATCAGTCTTGTTGGTGCACAAAAAGCGTCTCTTCACCCTGATGATATGCTATTGCTCTCCAACTTTATTATGTCTTCTGAATCATTTAGGCAAGTTCTGATTCTTGTTTGGGCCATTTGCTTGTGAATCTGGTACAAATATTTGGAGACAATTGATAAGCTCATTTCGCACATGTATATGCATATTTTTGGTGCTGTTTAGCCTTAATAGGCTGGTAACTCGTCCTCAAAGTAAAACCTTGTAGTCATATGGTCCATATTGTACCTGAATTTGCTGACCTTTTTGAATATATGATTGGGGCAGTCAGTTATCGAGGCAGACGTGGCCTTTGAGGATACAGATGTTACTGTAAATGTCCGTGCTAATTTTAGTATATTTGTCCTTGCATTCTTGGTAGGATTGTGTAGTAGCGTTTAACTAATTACTACTATGAAATTTCACATTACTTTATATGAGTCTAGTTTCACGTAATTAGATCATTTCTACTAGTTGTTACATTTCAAAGTTTCCTAGATTTCATTCACTTAGGTTTCATGTGCTTTGATCAATTCATTTCCGCAACGAAGGACCACTTTTTTCTTGAGGCTCCAAAACATTTATCTGGCCATCACATGATCTGGGCTGCTGTGGAAATTTTCACTTTTATGCGTATGGTCCCTATTGATTTGGTGTAATGACTCACCTACAAGTTCTCTCCTGGACATTTGTCTTGTGTCCTGAGGCAGCATGTAGCTAATGTATCTTTTGACATAGCTAGGAGTTGTTTATCATCATGACATTGCATCCAAATTCTTTTCTTCTATTCTGTGTGGTTGGTGTTCATAATGCTTCTCCCTCTCATTGTTGCTTTAGTTTTTTCTCTTTTTTTGTGCCCCTTGTTGACTGTGAACGGTTGGATCATAGCTTACATAATAATAGTACTCCTCCGTTTCAATTTATTTGTCTGGTTTTGACTTGGCATGAAATTTTGAGAAAGTAAACAAGACTTTTGAATTTTGTGGTCTTAAATTGAAGATATGTCAAATGTACCAAAATTTCCTTTAATCATGTGGTCTTTAACATGTCATGTGGAAAGTTGGAACTAAGGAGTTGCCAAAAAAGGAAAGAGGCATTCTTTTTGACAAAGTTAAAAGGAAAGTAGGACAAACATATTGAAACGGAAGGAGTATAATTTGATGGCTGAGAGATTATATTAAACTGAGTGATAGCCTAGTGAAAAGGACCTAACCTTGATTTGGGGTTCCTGTCACCAAGAGAGGAACTGGGAAAAGACCATTGACGATTCTTGGGCAGAGAGGATTTGGTGGTGGGGTTTCTTCCATGTTAAGGAAATGATAACAAAATAAATGATAGATCACATGTTACAGCCCACTCAAGGTCTGTATTCCATTTATACTTACTAATTTCTTGGAGGCTATGTTATAACACCTCATTGATGTCATGCAGGACATCAGAATCCTTCTCACCAATTTGCTTACCAAGATATAATCCCATGTCATTTCTACATGCTTATGTGCATTACCTCGATGTAAGTTGGGACGGTGTCAAATTACTCTTTAATAGTCCCCTTCTCCCAAAATGTTGTCAATTTCCCTTCAAAGGGTAATATTTATTACTTTGTACTACAGATACATTCTTACAAAATTTCAAATCTGTCAAAATCTATTATTTTATCTTTTATATTTTGGCTGTTCTTTTGTACAACTATAAATGTTAACTCTCTTATTCCATGCAATTCAAAATAAGACTGTCAGCTTAATACAGAGAAAGTATCTTCTGATGAAATTTTTTAAGTTAAATCTCTTTTTGATTCTTGATAGTAGGTTGTCTTACAATAATTCTAGGATCTTGATTTTTCCAAATTACCCAACTTTGGTGCTGTATATTACAGGTTGACACATACTTAATATTGCTTACTACAAGTTCAGATGCCTTTCATCATCTTAAAGATTGCAGGTAAATGATGTTCTTTCATTTCTTTTTTTTCAAAGTACATTTGGTTCTACTTTTCAAAGCTGAAGTTTTTTCTTTTGTTTCCATTAGATCTCTGAACCATGGGAAATGTGAGCCATGTATATCTGTTCTTAAATTCCGTCTAGAGGCATTAGCTTGTTAAACTAAACTACTTTTATCTTTCCCATAATAGCAATGTTAAGGCAAAGCTCTTATCTATCTTGTAGGATTCGTATTGAAAAGGTACTTCTGGAGTCCAATGTACTTAATGAAGTTCAAAGATCCATGGTAGATGGTGGCATGCGTGTTGAGGATTTACCTGCTGATCATGATTCTCATTCTGGAGCAGTCTCCCTTCATCTGGGTCAGCCTGGACATACTAGAGAATCATCAGAGAGATTTGCTGAAGCATTCATAGGTGTTGGTGGTCCTGCTGGACTTTGGCATTTTATGTATCGAAGTATTTATCTTGACCAGTATGTGTCGTCGGAGTTTTCCTCACCAGTAAATAATAGACAACAGCAGAAAAGGTATTACTTTAAGATCAAGTTTCTGTCATAACAAACAATACTTCTGTCTCTTTCCCCCCCTTAAAGACGAGATTTTTTTTCTGCAGGTTGTATAGAGCTTACCAGAAGCTTTATGCATCCATGCATGACAAGGAAATTGGACCGCACAAAACTCAGTTCAGAAGGGATGAAAATTATGGTACGTACTTTGGCTGCTTCCCCTGCTCTCCTCTTAAGCTCTTGAAGCATGAAGACCTTTCTATTTTCTTCACCTAATTGAATGTTTGCATATAATATTTATGGCAGAAATAAGCTATTAATTAAACAGTTAACATGAATCAGTGTTGACAGTCATTTCCTTCCTAGACGACTCTTGCTGTCAGAGAACTACAGCTGACATGTCACTGCTGCCTTTTGTGATCATTGTCACAGAAACTTTTTCCACCATAACATAGCATACAAAGTTAGTTAATTGAGGTCCAAGTTGCATAGATAATCTGATCTACTTATCCTAAATCTTTTTTTTTTTCAAATTTAAAATAAGTCTATAGAACCTAGATCTATCTATCTTTCTGCTTGTATAGTACTGTAGAGCAGGTTAATTTTCTTGTCAAAGCTTTGAGGTTGGGATGAGAAGTCTTTGGGTTAACACTGACAGTTGCTGGGTAAGAGATGTCAAAAGAAAAAAATCATTCTCCTATTCATTTTTATTGTACTTCATGTTGCTGTTGGTCGTTATTCATGAACAAGAAAAGAATATAAATCTAGTGAGTCGTAATTGCAAGAAAAGTGTGATCCCTTGCAAGTTTGCAGGTAATTATTTAAAAATACTTTTCATATTTGTACGTTGAGCCAATTCTAAAAGCTAAGTGCATAGACATAAGTAAATGAATTGTTCTTGTTGAGGATTTATGTAGTAATTAATTGGCATCATTATTCATATTCCTTAAAATTGGAATTCTTTCAGGAAGGTGTTCGCTATAATTAAGTTCAGTTTTCACTTTTTTTGGTTCCAGTATTGACCCTTATTTTATTTTAATTTCTTTCAATGGTTACTAAATTTTGGGTTGGGAATTCAGAAACATAGAAAAAACGCCTCATGACATTGTCACATGATAATGTTTTAGTTTCTCTTGGGATAACTTCCTTACCTTTATCTTGCAGTTCTACTGTGCTGGGTTACTCAGGATTTCGAACTTTATGCAGCATTTGATCCCCTGGCAGACAAGGTTTGATTATTTATTTGTTCTTTTAAGCCTGTTATTTGTCTAAGTGATATCTTGAGTGTCACTTTTATTTTTGAGAGATTTTCCACCTATCATTTTATGGGTAGACAAGGTTTTATTATTTATTTTGTTTTTCTAAGCCTATCGTTTGTCTAAGTGATATCTTGAGTGTCACTTTTATTTTAGAGATTCCACCTATCAATTTGATGCTGTTATATATGCTAGATGTGACTCCATTTGTCTTTGGTTGAGGAAGGTTTGGACTATTCATTGGACAGTTTAGGTATTGAAACTTTGGCAATTCAAACAAGCAGACCAATGAGATTTAATAGACCTTAGTTCACTTCTGTTCTGTACTGTAGTGAGCTGGTTACCATTTATAATAGGGGAACTTTCACATATAGCCACTCAAAAATAGCCTAATTACTCTCTATAGCTATAGTTTGATAATTACAATTCGTAGCTACATGTTATATGGAGGAGAGAGGTGAGTGAGACTGGGAGAGAGAGGCGAGAGAGAGGGGGCAAAGAGTGGGAGAAAGGTGAATTGTATATGTATATAGGTTAGATAATTGTATATTATACATATGTATTTGTATATATGGCAAGCGAGATTGGGAGAGGGAGGAGAGAGGTGAATTGTATATGTATATAGTTTAGATAATTGTAAATTATACATATGTATTTGTATATTCTGGTGAATTATACATATACAAACCTGACTAATTATACAAACTCGAAGTCAGCCCGCGTAATTAATGTATAATGTTAGTCCTGAGTGGTAATTATAGCAAACTATAGCTATGATGAGTAATGAAGTAGTATAACTTTGCTTAACCGCGTAATTTTCCCTTCATAATAACACATGAGATATGTTAATGGCTAGGCCATGAGCCCTAGCGATTGAAATCAAAATCTCACTATTTGCTCAACAGAAAGAATCCACCCCTAAATACATGTTAACTTATTTTTTATGCATCATTGTCAAACAGCTATTATTTGGGATGTTATTTCGGGACTAGCGTCAGTTTACTTACCACAACGAGTACATTTTTTATATACTGAAATTCTGATAAGTACGTCAAAGCTGATTTTGTGTATTCAAACTTCAATATGGTTTAATAGTTTAAGCTTCATCAATGTGCTTGACATGTGGGGTATTATTCACAATAGTGATCCTATGACTTTTCTTATGCCAATTATTTGGGAATGTGAGCATTGCACTATTTACCTGTGATCTTACAGTTTTTAACGTTTGGTAAATTTCCACCTTGCAGGCTCTAGCTATTAAGACTTGCAATCGAGTATGTCAATGGATCAAGAACATAGAGAATGAGATTTTCTTGTTAGGAGCCAGTCCTTTTTCATGGTGATTCTCTCCATGTTTTTCTTTTCTCGAATTCCTTATAATAAGTTATTGTTGCCTCATTTCTGTAGGCTTCCAATTTTTGTGGTTATTTAGAAAATGCCAGTTGTAGTTTAAAGTTTGGCTGTCAAGATATGAGTTGTCTCACTCTAGCCGTCATTTTATTTTCTCTTGTACAATTTATGAAATTTTGTACCTTTAATCTGTATCAAAGGTTTATAGTGTTCTATATATACCGATCTTTTTTAATTCCTGCAGTATCCAACATCTGAAAGAATAAAAGATTTTGTTGAATTTCGAATGTGGATGCCATACTGGGACTAAAGCGCCACAGAATATGGTTGCAGTTTGTAACCATTTATTTCTCATTCTCTTTTTATTTTTTCTTCTCCTAGAGGAAAAGGGCATTTTTTCAGAATTTGACACTAACTCATTAACATCTATAAAATGTCATCTTGAAAATTGGATATTCAGTACAGATTCATCTTGTTCCCTATGCAAGAAAAGTTATACAACATATAGAGTATTACACAACCTCCGAGAGGTGGGTTATTTTATTTATCCTCTTCGTGTAGGTTGCAGAGTGAACCATGCTTGCAGTCTCGCAACTATTTGTGCTTTGCTACTACGTATCGCTCTGTCATCTGCATCAATGTAAAAAAAGCTACTGTTAAGGACTCCACAGAAACGTAAACGATGAAACTGCAATCCACTGATAGTGATCCTCTTGTAAAACATCTATGAATAACAGAAATCTCTGTTGTAAATACATGTGGCATAAACTTTTTGTATGTTTAATGAATACAAAGATATGAAAGGTCAACCTTAAACATGGTTCCCTCTACTGATCACACAAGGTTATAAAGATATGATAATGAGAAGGAAATAACTATCTTAATGTAATTTGACTGAAAAAGATGAAAAATCAGAAATTAACGATCTGTATTAACAGTTGTGACGATGAACATACACAGAAATCTCATACAGCAACTGCTTCAGGCCTTTTGCTCGTCTTGATCCCTTTAATAGCTGCAACATGTTCACACAATATGTAAGTTCTAAGTTTATTAATCAATAAACATCAAGTTCCAAGCTTCTCAGTATGGCAAAATAAAGAATTTTATATCCTTGCCTTCAGCATAATCAGGAGCTCCAAAGACAGCAGAACCAGCTACCAAGGCATTGGCTCCAGCTTCAATGACCTGCAAGAAAAAAATGACTGTTAAATCGTAATCTCATAAGGATAAATGGTTGGTTGCTTTGATACACCGTGTTCACTTTGTCATTACCACACGCAATTCTCTACAACTTGAAAGTAGGTTACTCTTCAGTACAATATAAAACACGTTTGCCGCAATAAATGGCAAAATTAGGAGAAAGATAAGGTTGTGCTCCATGAAACCTGGTAGAATATCAGAACAATTTAGGAAAAGATTCGAATTCACAAGATACAACAATCCCGAAGTAGCATTTTCACACCACTTGCAATGCTGTCTGCAGGTAAGATTTATCCTTCACATCCTATGACTTATCCCAACAATACATGGAAAAGAAAAATAAATCTTTTAAGAGTTAATGAGGGTCAGGTAACAAGCTTAATGGGAGAGGGGTTTATAATCACGGGAGAGCATCATTCACCTTGTAAGCATTTTTGGGACCAACTCCACCATCAACTTCAATCCAAGGGTTTAATCCCTGCAAAGTTAACATAAGAATGTCATCACATTGCATAGTTTGCAGAGACTGAAAAATGGTAAAAAAAATTACCCTCTCAGCGCAGATTTTTCTCAAGTCCGAGATTTTCTTGACCTGACTCTCAATGAAGCTCTGTCCCCCAAATCCAGGGTTTACAGACATAATCAACACCAGATCAACAGCTGTTGCACGAAAAAGAAACTATAAGCAATTTATCAACCTGGCTCACTTTGGATTCAAAGCTTAGTGCCTTTTCTGATCTAGCTTTCCAGAGGCAGCATACAGGTTATAGACAGGAAGATCCTTGGTAACCAGATTAGAACTTTGCTACATGTCTATTTCCCCACCCCTTTAAAGATTGACGAAAGCTTAAACAATTGAAAATACGGGACCTCATATTAAGAAAATGGGACCTTGAGCTTACTCAACTTTAACAGCTAACTTAGGAGGTAAGGATTGTCTAAAATCATATAATTGCCCATTATTATTTATTAGGGAAACCAAGAATAAGGATCGGTTCCGACTCTAATAGCATATCTGAATAATATACCTTGAGCCTAACTCAATACAAAAGACTAGCTCATGTGGGGGACTCTATAACCTTGCTTCTCAAATCAATATCTCTAAGGTAAGTTTTTCATTGGAGCACTCAAACTAATATACAAGTAGTTCTAGGGTACACTTTCAATGCTTTTGCTTCATTCATCAATCTTGAACCGTTGCGGCATTGCACAGTATATTCAGCATAGCTCAGACTAGTAGGAGCTAAGGTGATTTGACATGTTTTCTACCATATGAAGTCAAGTTTAAAAGATAACATAATCTATATCACCTATTTAGAGGAGTACTTCTCCCATCTCTCGATTCCAATTTCATTATTGACTCTCACATCACAATATAAAAGAAGAAAATTGAAGCAGAAAATTATAAGAAAAATACTAAGAGAATCATCTCTGGGAAGTTGTCTCTTAACTTAAGGAAATGAAAACTCCAAATTTTTAATAGATGCTACAAGTGTCATAACTCATAACAGTACAGAGACCAACAACCATTTGTTTCTACACTGCACAGTTGCTACAGATTTATGGAGCACTTTCTTCTCTCTTTTTGGACTTAATTGGTCATGCCTTGGAATATCAAGGAAACCTTTGAAAGTTGGAGACATGGAAAGTTGATCAAGCCATCAGGAAGATTTGGAGAACGATCTCTGCAAGCATTTTTTGGGTTTTGTGGACAGAATGGAATAAGAGATGTTTTTGATGGTGTATCAACTCCCAATCACTCTATAAAGGTTAGGTGCTTAATGCTTCTGTTAAGCTGGCACAATTTGTTCCCTGTGGATTCTTATGACAACCTTTTGTTCTCTGTTAGCTCCCTAATTCTAGAGTAGACTTTTTTTGCTTGGGAGCTAGCTCAGTTTTATTTTTGGATGCAATATCTTTTGTAATTTGCATCTTCTTGATGCCATCAATGAAACCATTTACTTCATCAAATAAAAAAGTTTTCTTAAGAAGCAATATCTTACCATCAAGGACATATTCAATTGCGGTTAAAGGGGTTCCAGGATTGAGGACAACCCCAGCTTTTGCTCCCAAACTTTTAATCTGAAAAATAAACAATCAATAAGGTGGTCAAGACACACTTAAAAGGTGAAACAATGAATAAGACAGCTAAAAAACACAAGTTACCATGAAGTTAGAACTATATCTTTGGGTAACAAAATAATAATATTCTGAAATATCACCAGCTGAATTTCTATATCACATATATGGCTCTTACAATTACAAATTACAGCACACCATTTTCAATGTCATGGAACACACCTAACCATGATCCTATATAATTTCTCTAGAACTGATAGTTCATTTTAAATAGATAAAGTAGATCATATAAAAGGTAATCAGAAATCTTATAGAGAAATTTTAAATGAGTAAGTGTTCAATGTAAGAAAAGCAAGCACTCTACATTTTTTTCTAACCCCCATGGTGTGAGGATGCTTTGCATCATGTGGAAAATGTTTCAGAGAGACATCATCTATAATAGAAGTAACAAAATTCATCATGAATAATTAATCAATTACCTCCAACAAGTCATTTATAACTGATATCCTAAAAGAAAAAGCATGCAATAAAGGTAAATGGAAAATTCCAGTATTTAGAATTCAGGATACCGCGAATCAGCATGGATTGATCTTTACAAATAGAAAATTTGTAGTAAGTGAAAACGTTAGGCTGGTGATATTCTGTTACTTATGTACAACATTCCTAACAAGAAGCCTGTTTCTGTAGCCATTTTAAAGTAGGTTTGCAATCAAATTCCTATGAGTAGATAGTCATTACTAACAAAGAGAAATCTAGTATTTCGACAAAAACAAACATGCCTTTGAGCATCAAAAGTTCTAAAGAATTACAAAATCAAGAGTAAATCTTTTAGATACGTGAAGCTAAAAAATTCAAGAGACTGACAAAGGCACTTAACAAGTCCCAAAGAAAAGGTTCAGGAAATTTGTAGGTTTGCTCCTATTGAAAAATGCAGAAAATTTCATAGGAAACACACTGAGAAACACAAGTCTTTGTTTGAAAGATCACTTTAGCAGTCATTGCGGTTCACACAACTAGCTGCAGTAGCCAAACAGAAGCAATGCATCAATATGCCTAACATAGCTTAATTTGAATGTCATTTTGTGCACTTACTACAAACAGTTCTATATTGAGCAGCTAAGTAGCCTTTTTACAAAAAATATATTTTTCATGGGCCAACCTATTATGTAATCCAAAAGACTCGAGGTAGAGGTATTTTTCAGGTTGCAGTGCATTAACACTTTCGAAAACACTGTTGATAAGAACTTTCTAGGATCCTTGTATGATATCATAAGTACAGTTTGGATCCGTATTATGCAAGGAGACATTGATTTTGCTAATTCGAATTGAAGAAGGAAAAGAAAGAAAGAAAGACAGACCTGATTTATTGTACGATGCAAGTGGATCGTAGAAGATTGCTCACAGTGAACACTGACAATATCAGCACCTGCTTTTATGAAGTCAGGTACTCTCTGGTCAGGTTCGACAATCATCTGCAATGGTCGGTTGAAATTGAACATTAGCAAAAGCATTTTCACGCATATAGACCTGAAATAGTTTTACCACATGAAAAAAAAAAGAAATACCAGATGCACATCCAATGGTAGATCTGTGATAGGGCGCAAGGAATCAACTACAAGGGGTCCAATAGTTATATTTGGAACAAATCGACCGTCCATCACATCTACATGAATCCAGTCACAGCCTGCCTGCTCAATTGCTTTCACCTAAATGCATGAAAGGCACAAGAGTAAAACACTTACATGTGATGAATGATTAACCAGCTTAAGAGCCATTCTTAAGGGAAACCACAAACAAAAAAGAAGAAATTCATAAAAGAATTGACCTAAAATGAGAAAGGCAAAATACATTTGCTCAATATTTTAAACTTGTAGATGAATAGAAATATTTCTTATATCCAGTTTCCAAATAGAAATACACCTTTATAAGATCTATATGAAATGGTAGGGCAAGAGATCCATATGACCACAAACCTGCTCTCCTAATTTAGAAAAGTTAGCAGAAAGGATGGACGGAGAAACAATAATGTCGCTTTTTGAGAACTTATCCACCCGAGAAGAAGCGTTCACCACAGTTTGAATTCTCCTCCTGCATTTACAAACAAAATTAGGAACTATATTTGGACAGATTGTGACGCTAGTTTAAGGGGGCATAGTTGCAGAAAGATAAACACCTACTAGTTAAATTTCCTATATTTTAAGATAGGAAATAAGAAAGAAAAATGCAGTTGTTAGCAAGAAAAGTAAATGAATGGTCCGTGTCCAAAAAGAACAAAAAATGCATGAACTCAGCTGATATATTCAAGAAATCGGCTCATTTTTACAACTATATAAGCAACATTGCATCACCTAGTAAGCATAATCTCATCAGTGAGATAGATAGTTAATAGCTACTGGAATCAAATTCAACTTATGGTTGGTGCCTGTTGAAAAACAGAGAAATCAAAGTGACTTGAACAAGGATTAATCAGAATGTCAAAAAAACATGACATTGTCAAGAAGCATTCTTGCATGAGCTTTACATTATCAACCAATTGCCAATTGAAGAGGGTGGTTCTTGATGCTATTAGATTCTAAATTGTCTACCACAAGACAATCCTGAATTGCATATTTTCCAGCTTAGAACATTGACTCTTCAAGACCATTTGCTTACCACACACAGGAAAATCAAATTCAAATAGGATATGAAGCATATCACAAACATAGGGAGTGCAAAAATTCCTGTTATCACAACAGCACCAAGAAAAAGATCCATACACCCTTTCTACACACCCAAAAACATCAAGGTCCGATTTTTTTCCTGTGGAAATGACTGATTCAAAACTTCCCACACCAGGCTAGCAATCTAGTTAACTTGCGGACCATAACTCCAAGTACAACGATTACAAGTAAAAGAGTTAATTTTTAGGGGAAAAGAAAGTAAGACAATTAAGAAATTAGAAAAACCTGGTGAAAGTGAGTGAATTGGGGTTGGAGAAAGAAATCTTTTGAAGCTTTTGACTCCCGCCAAATCCACTAATTTGGGATTGTAACAGAGTTGATGAACCCAAAGAAGAAGCAGTCGCCATTGAATTTTTTTATTTTTTTTTCTTGAAGCAAACTTTTCCCTTGTTGAAAATTGAGGATAAAGGTTGGTACTTTGTCAATTTGAAAGCACCACAGCTCAAAATTCCAACCACCCTTTTGAGACTTTCAAGACAAGAACCGAAAACTGTTGTATTTTTTAGGAAAATCAAGAATGAAATACCAGGTGGACACGTGTCTGATTTGGTTTCATAGCGGCTTTGCTTATCTTCAATGGTTGGCCCTTCTCTTTTGCTGACTCAATTTGTAGGGAACAGGGGACCTCCCATCCTTCATTTATCGCATGATGGCCACAAGCACACAAACCAAACACCAAGGTAGAAATGCCAAAGCCAAAAGTCACCTTCCTTATAATTTTATATTCAAATTATTGTAACAAAGTTGTGTTTTATTTCTAGGTAACTATTTATTAGTTGCATATATTCATGAGTTATAATTTAAGTATAACTTTTTTTTTTTTTAGATAATTTGATTTTGATAAACTCTAGGGCGGAGTCGGTTGAGGGGATTCATTCGATTATTTTAATTATGAGTTTATATATAGTTAAAAATATTTTTATGTATATATAGTAGATGTTGAATCTCCTTGAATTTCATTATGTGTTTACTTTTGAACTTTCTTAGTGAAAATCCTGACTATGACACTAGAGATAATATTTTTAGATTATGAGTTTATATACTTTGAACTCAAAACTTTACAATATCATACTATATATCAGAAGGAAAACAACCAAAACTTTTAACAGATAAACATAATTATATTTGGATTTTACTTTCTTGAGCTCTTAACAATGAGTTGTTAATAATTGATGGCTAAAGAAATAAGAATAATTGAAAAAAAAAAAAACTATTTGACAAATATATCTTCCAGTTTGTATCTGTATATAGTTTTAATTTAATGTACCAACTCTCTAGAAGTCAAAGCTTGCCTTCTTTCAAAGTAAACATCCAATTATGTGTTTCTTCTTGTTTTGGACTAATTTTAGTTGCTTAACATTGTAAGAACATTAATAACTTTTGATAGTATACAACTTATTGACCTGAAATAGTAATGGCATTGAATCTTTTCGAGGGTACTTTTTTCTTTAAGTCGCGGTCATGTCTTGCCCCCAATTATAGTTCGAGGGGGTTGGTGTCGAATATAAAAACTCAAGCTCAAAGTATCATGTTTGTCCAAATTCGACCAACATTCTATGAATGATCAAAAGATTTTAACAGCCAAAATGAACAACATTGAAAGTCATGTATAACAAAAAAGGAAACAACAATAGAGGCAAGATGATCTGCACTTTGCAGACAAAGGAAAGCAATCATCACTAGTAAATTGAAATTAATTTAATCGGTACATAATGTATCCACCAACCATTGAATTTGTTGTTAACTCTTTGCCAAATCTGTTATTCTACATTTGCAACTGTCTTTTCAGTTCTACTTGCTTCGAGTGACTATGAAGCGATCCAAGAAAACCTTCAATGATCAGCAAGTTTCTACTGATCGCGAATCAGGTGCTGTTTTGAAGAATTCAGAGTTGAAATGGGGTCCGAATCCAATGACACTCGTGGGTTTTATAGTTGTTCTCTTGATGGTTCTTACGGTTGTTTTCTCAGTTGCATTCTTTTTCGGGGACTTACCTTCTGATTGCTTGTGGACTTTGGCTGAAGCTAGAATTTTTCATGTTAAACATTCAAAAGGTGCTGCATTTCCTCTTTATTTTCCCACTTATTTGCTTTTCCTTTCACTTGTATAGTATTTCTTCTCTTCTGCAATTCAAGTTTGTTGAAAATATGTATAGAAATTACGCGACATGTCATTCATTATGTAATCACATGTTTCATAATGAATAAAGCTAAAACAAAGGAGCAAGTTTAGCAACAGAAGTTTCCATTTCATGGAATTTAACTTTTCTGATGCAGAGAAAATACTTGTTTGTTCTACTGAGATTGTGCAGTAATCTTACTCTTTTCGTTTTCTTTCTTCCAGCCACAGTATCTGAAAAGGATATTCTGCAGCCACTGACAGTGCCAAAAGATGATAAACTACTTGGTGGTCTTCTTCCTACTGGATTTGATGAAACATCTTGTTTGAGTAGGTATGAATCACACTTATATAGCAAACCTCTGCAGCATAAGCCTTCCTCTTATCTTATCTCGGGGTTAAGAAGATACGAAGCTCTTCACAAGCAATGCGGACCTTACACAGAATTATACAACAAAACAGTAGACCTTATAAAGTCCGGTGAATACAGCAGTGGTTCTTCAGTTTGTAATTACGTTGTTTGGATATCGTATAGTGGTTTAGGGAACAGAATACTAACCTTAACTTCTGCTTTCCTTTATGCTCTACTCACAAATAGAGTCCTTCTGGTTGACCCCAGAGCTAATTTGCATAACCTGTTTTGTGAACCTTTTCCTGAAGTTTCTTGGTTGCTTCCTCCAGATTTTCCTATTATTGATCAGTTTAGTAGCTTTAATCAGAAATCTCCACATTCCTATGGTTATATGGTGAGAAATAATGTCACAGGCAAGTCAAGAATACCTTCATTCCTCTACCTTCATTTATCTCATGACTTTGATGTGCAAGATAAATTATTCTTCTGTGACACTGACCAAACTTTTCTCCACAAAGTCCCTTGGCTATTTGTGAAGTCAAATAACTATTATGTTCCTGCTCTTTTCTTGATCCCATCGTTCGAGCAAGAGTTAAACAATCTTTTTCCAGAGAAAGAAACTGTCTTCCACTTCTTGGGTAAGTACCTTTTCCATCCAACAAATTCTGTATGGGGGCTTATTACTAGGTACTATCAAGCTTATTTAGCTCAAGCAGATGAAAAAATAGGCATTCAAATTAGAGTTTTCAGTTTAGGTGTAAGCAATTTTAAGTATGTGTTGAATCAAATATTAGCTTGTGCAACAAAGGAGAATCTGTTACCACAGGTTAACCTGAATGAGCCTATAGTCAATTATTCTAGCAAGACGAAGACTATAAGCGTCTTGATGACATCTCTGAGTTCACAATACTTCGAGGAGATTAGGAACATGTATTGGCAGAATCCTACTGTAACAGGAGAGATTGTTACTGTTTTTCAGCCAAGTCATGAAGAGCATCAACAAACTGAGAAGCTGATGCATGACAGAAAGGCCTTGGCAGAAATGTATTTGCTGAGTTTAACTGATAAATTGGTTACAAGTGGATGGTCCACTTTTGGTTATGTGGCTTATAGTCTTGGAGGTTTGAAGCCATGGATTTTATACAAGTTTAAAAAAGGGACAGTCCATGATCCGCCTTGTTTTCGAGCTACGTCTTTGGAGCCATGTTATCATTCTCCCCCTTACTACGATTGCAAGAAGAAAACAGCAAGTAATAACACAGTTAACATTGTTCCTCATGTGAGACATTGTGAGGATAATAGCTGGGGTTTGAAGTTATTCGATCAAAAAGGTGAATTGTTGTAACCAACAATTGTTGCAGGAGTAGTTACTATAACTTATTTCAAGATTCTTTCATTGTTATGATTCTTAGACACAACCGTATTTTTACAGTTTTTGATGAAAGCTAAACCATAAATTTCTGTTTCTGTTGGGACTCTTATTTGTCTGATGGAAAGTACTTGTGCTTTTTTGCTGGACTACCTGAATCACCAGACAAATATGTTACGTTTCCAAGCCTTTATCTGAGCAGATGATGTCTTTATTTAAGATAAAGCCCAATTCTTGATTAGGAGGACCATCTACCAATGGGACCAAAATAGTAAGCCCTTTACTGCATGACAAACAATGGATTACACACTTCCTGTTATATCAAAATTTAAGCCCCTCATATGGTTGTCAGACATTTCATAAAATTAATGTTTACGCACTCTATGTAACTAAACAATTTGTAAGAAAAGAAAATGGAAGCGAATATATAATGGTAGTTTTTTAAATCAGAATCATGACATATTGTCTTGGTCTCTATTTTCTTTTTCCTTCATAAATTAAAAGTAAACTACTGAGGAAATGTGCTTACACGTCAAGAAACTTTATCGAGCTCAATGTACATGACTACATGGTATCAAATCCAACAATGTAAACAGTTAGGTAAAGGAGGTGGTTGTTAGTTATCCGCCTGCTCACCACCAGTTTCAATTTCTACCCTGTGTTAATAGAAAAACCGGCAAATCTTTTGAATCCATCTAGCCAGTATCAGAATCTGAAAACTCCGCTTGGTAAGCATCTTTTGGGTCCACGTCGGTCATAGAAGGTGGAACAAGATCGTTTCTTGGGCGAGTTCTTCGCTTTCGCATGGTTGCGTCCTGCAAAAAGATACAAAGGTGGAAACGATCCAAGTCAATTTTCAAAGAGGCCAATATAAACATCGTTTCAGGTACAAACTGAAAGTGCCTACCACTACCTTTGCATTTGGCTGATTTGACTGATCAGGCTCTCTGGTCTGCTGGTTCGAACGTTCTGGCTCATTGGATTTCTGGCTGGAATGATCAGCCTCGCTTGACTGAGCTACCTGACTTCTCTTAAACCAAACACTACCAAATGAGATAAGTGCTGCCAGGAGCAAGAAAGGTCCAACTCTTGGATCGCCACTGTAATCATGAACTTTATTTAGGAAACTTTTGACACTATGAATCAATCCTCTACTAGGACTAACAGTTCCTTCAGACCAAGATGACCAACTGGAATCTGCATCCTCTGGGACCAATTCAGGAGTTCTTGTTTTCTGCAACAAAATGTATATATAAAGATACAGAAATAGAAAAGGAGCCTAGGAAAGGGCCAAAGACAAGTTTCCATTGTTTTGCATCCTTGCAATAATCAACATATGAATAACATGAGAAATCATTATCTCATGATATTGAGATCTATTTTTCCTCCCACGTTGATTAAAAGGACATTGCTCCTGTCACTCCTCCCACATACATTCATAAAGTACCTTCCAGACTAGTATCCATAATTCCACCCAAGTGAGAGATGATAGATCAATCTCCATATAGATTTAGTAGCAAAGGGTTAATAATTCTGCACATGCGAAGTTCTGGTATATCAACTACACCAACTGGCAACTGCTGACATGAATAGAGCTTACAATCTTGAAGGAGGGGCGTCATTTATAAGATCCATTTTCAAACCCAAAACACCATTGAACCAAAAAATAAGAACAAGATCCGTTTGGTGTGAACAGAGAGATTTGGGAAATTAACTTACAAATGAAGGAAGGTTCTTTGAGTCACCATCTTTGATAATCTCAGAAATCCATTGTACGATCTGTCATTCCAATTTACCATACATTAGATATCTAGATATAATCATCATGAACGTTCTCATACAAGTAGT